GTTAGAGATAAGAAGGGTGGGAACAGCAGGAGTTTTCCCTTTGAAAGAAGGCTACCGGTCTGATACAATTGTGATTATAGTGAGTGGCAATTTTCTACTGATTGGAAAGACAGCAGGTGTGGTGCATGGAAGAAGGCAGCACTGTAGATACAGGCCGTAGGCACTGACCCCTCTTAGCTTTGCTGGAAGGAAGGAAGAGAGGAGGCAAGGTAAAATTGGGGAAGTGTTATGCTTGCTTGCTCCTTTCTTCTTTTCTCATGCCCAAATCCTGCCCTGGCTTGTCAAAGGATGAATATTAAATTCTTGCTTTTAATAGCTACCTTTCATACATGTGGTGTGATACAACAAAGTTTATGATTAACGAGTTGGCAATTCCAGGTTACAGTTTCAGTCAAAGCAAAATGAGCGCTCTTTAAAATCCTTATTACTTCTGAAATTCATGTCTGTCAGTTCTGAAATCATTCCTTCTTCCCTTCTGTCCCCCAAATGACAAACCACTTTGGATCAAAAGAAACACAGCATTCTCTTTCAAGAGAAATATTTTGTTTAAACTTCAAGCAGTTCACTATTCCAAAATAAAACTCAAGGAGAAGATTCATTTCCAATTTAAAAAAGTGTTTTATTCTGAAATGGTATTCTGTAATGTATTTAAAGCAATTATGGTTTTGATATAGTATATCTCTTAAAAGAAAGCACATATATACTCATGGAAAAGATGGGGGAAAAAATAATGGATGAATAAGTGGATCATTCTACTTCTTTTGAAGCCAACACAACTACATTTATCCATTAAGCCAGGTATGTACCACAAATTCTGAGGCAGAGGAAGACACCAGGGAAGCCTTTCTATAGGTAAGTTTACAAAGCTATTGATAACCCGCTCCCCGTCCAAAGGTAGAATCACACAACCATGATTATTGTACACTTTCAAATAAAAAACAGCCCTTCATAAACAAGATAAAATAACACAAGCTGAAAATCCCCAAATGATCACAAGCTTGGGATAACTCGCCTGTCTGGATAACTCAGTGCTGATTGCCAACATTCAAGGTGAAAGAGAAGAAACTGTTGCTCTATCAAAATCAATGAATATGCAGCACAAGTCCGAAATACAGCACTTCAGCTGCTGTACATACCTAAGCTTAGATTCTGCTAACAAATATTGTATTTCAGTGGCACAATTAATAATAACAATTGCTAAATTTGCCATTTTCCACAGAAAATTTGCAAGCACTAGTGTTACTACCCAGGTTTTTAAAAGCTCATTTAGGAAATGCCTCAACTGCTATGACTTCAGAGATATGTCTCCCTCTGAAGAAAAGAAAAAGAGTATCTCTGTTCCTTTGGCCTTAGGTGTCTTCATGGAGCTTGAGGCTGTGTAAGACCACTGTAAGCCAACTGTAGGTCACAGCAATTCCAATTAAAATTTACAGGAAAATTGCACAAAGGAGTCAATGGTATATGCATTCCATTGTAATTTCTGATTTATACATAGCATTTTGTAAAACTGGGGTTTGTAAGTGTTCTGCTATGAGACTGCGGATTGCATTACTGCACGTAAATCACTGTGTGTGACTGCAGGTTGTGATATCAAACCATACAAAAGCACTAGATGTTGTATTCAACTTTAGAGTCCTAAAGTCACATGCTATCTAAAGTAAGGATTAGGATACGACTCTGTAAAGGGATTAATCAATAGGCTTACATACTTAATGTTAACCAAGTTCCTCAGATTTTGCCTAGCTTCCTATTATTTCTATTGTTTATTCCCCTGTGGCGGTTTCCGCCACACAAAATTACCTAGTGCACAAACTGCCTGATGGGCAAATCAGAAACTCAGAAACTTTTAATTATAAATGTGTTGTGGTTTTGTATTTGAAGAAGGAAAAAAGCCATCTTTCCCATGCAAAATTGTACCCTATGTAAATGTATTACAAGTAAGTTAAAAGTTTGTTCCAGATGTTTATGTATGCAGAAAGTTTTGTTTTGTATGGGTTGATAAATCAGTATTTTCGAAGTGTTTCTCATAAAATTTTCTTCACTCAGCTAACAGTTATTACATCTATCATTTTCACAAATTATTTGTGGATATGTTAGCGTAAACTAAAATTTAAACTATGAAAAGCTGCTGTCTGAAAAACCTTCTAATGATGACTATTCAAAAAAACCCTAGTTTGTTTTTATCTTTGTTACCACAGAGTATTTTTTTCTAACTTCCATATCACTGGGAGGCATCTTATTTTCCCTAACGTTATCTAACAGAAGTGACTTTGTGAGTTACTAATTATAGGAACTGTATGAGATTTGGCTTTTGTAAAGCCTGGGGGAAGATAATATATTGCTTAATGGTTAAGTAATTAGCAGAGTATCTGAATGAACAATTCAAACACAGTAAAGTTTTCTCCAATGAAATACCAGGGATCATGCAGAGAAGCACTAATAATTTAATTAGCTTCATAAAAGATAACACATCTATAAATGTGCTTTACCACAGCTTTGTCAGGATTTGCTATGAGGTTTTTAAACTATAGAAACTTTGTAATTAATATAATCTTCCTTATTTAATGTTTAATATATGGCATTTAGTTTTGTTTGTATAATACATAGATGCATATGAAGAGAAATTAACGCTACACAAAGCTCTGTTGAACTCTTAAAGAAAGTGATTTGTAGCTTGCTAGCCTCCCAGCCTGGGCAGAGAGTGGGAGAAGGCATTTATCAAGCAGCTGCAAAACAGTTTAGCACTGTTGATGTTATTTCAGAGGTACTGAAGCAGACTGGAAAAACTTTAGAGGTGCATTGTGCACGTGCTGCCTAAAATGAGATACGATCCTAGCTGTTCCAAACGGGATGGTATGCGTGTGGTGCAAGGTGCTGTGGGAAGCCGCCCTTCCCTGTGCATGGCTGCACCGTCGTTACCATGTCTATGTCCGTTACCATCCCTAACGGCCGAGAGCTCATCCCCCTGCCAGGGCTTTGTCTGTGGGGGCTCAGGGCCAGCTCAGAGGCAGTGCAGCTGAGGGCGGCCCCATCCCGCTGGTGCCATGGGGAAAGGCTCCCTGACAGAGTGGTCGTGAGGCCGACCCCTGCCTGTGGGAGTTGCTTTTGGTTGAGGGCTTGGTCCCTGCCTGGGCTACAGGTCTGCCGTGGCACAGCCCTGCCCTGCCTGGCCATGGGCCCTGCCGAGCTCGGCCCACCCGCGGACCAACATCTGCCTCCACCTGTCCCCATCCCCAGGGGTGTGTGCCCGATGCTGGGGCTGCCCCTGGCTGTCCCCCGG